CCACCAGTTTTCGCACGCCCTTGACGCTTTGATCAACACTGACTGCGTATTGAAAAGACGGAATTTGACAGATTGCTGAGTCTTGGAGTCATCCGACCATCTAGCAGATTGCGGTCTTCACCGCATCCTGTTCCCACTAAAGTCTTCCAGTGAAATTCTGCAATTTGTCGATTGCCAGGCGTTAAACAGGCAGACGGTACCTAACAGGTACCCACTACCACACCTGCACGATTTCACCAGCAGTTTTCCGGATGTTGGGCTTTTCTGCAATACCGGTCTCACAAGAGCTAATCATCACATTTCAATACATGCGAATGACGTTTCGAAAACCACTATTACTACACTATCCAGCTTATACGAATTCGTTCGCATGCCTTTAAGACTAATGAACGCAGCACAGACAGTCCAACACTTGAGTGATCAAGAACCCCACGGTCTCCGCTTTGCTTGTGCATGTACTGACGACTTACTCATCGCGAATGCAGATAAGGCAGAACATCTGTAAGATGGGAAGCCTGTATTCGAAAGACTTCACCAGTACGGGATGAACATTGACTTAGACATATGTCAATCCGGCGAGACCTCGTTGAAATCCCTCGGGCATTTGGTCGATAAGCAAATAACCAGACTAGTCCCTGATGATGTACAAGCTATTAGGGATTATTCACCACTTGGTTCCTCTAAAAATTGCAACGGTTTTCGGGTCTCGTCAATTTTTATCGCCATTTTATTCCAAACTGTGCTAAAGCTTTCAAATCATTACCTGACTGTTTACGAGGACGCAGCCGTTCATTTCACTTGCTAGCCGAAGCCATTAATTCATTCGATACTGTTAAGTACATGTTAAACCAGAAAAGACACTTCTAATCGGATCCATAATCGACGCTTTTCTGGCCATGATGACCTGTGCCTAGAACGTTGCCATTGTGAAGTTCTACAACAACTAGTACACGTAAATAACATTCTTTTCAAAACGACTGAATCCCACTAGATGTCTCTATAGCACCTTTGGTAGAGATTTACTAGCTGTTTATTCGATCAACAAACACTTTAGACACATGCTAGAAGGTACAGCTTTACTGTCTTCACCGATCAGAGAGCTCTTACGACAGCCGTATCAGCAAAACAAGATAACTACCCGCCTCGTGAACTACGAAATCTTGAACTTATATTCCAATTAATCACAGATATTCGACAAGTAAGGAGTAACGACAATGAAGTTGCAGACTCTCTGCCACGTATGCATATTGACAACATTGTATTTCACGATATCAACTACGAATATCTCACAACCCTACAAAGAAATAATTGATGGTGGACTAAAGAAGATTATGTCTTATAATAAAACCACATCCTTAAACTCACCGATGTTTTCTTTGACGAAACAAAAGTAATCTGTGATACATTTACTAGTAGATGTCAACCATGTTTTCAAGCAGCTGTGAGGCTCACATACCGGAGTCAGTGCTACAACCAAGCTGCCGAAGGGAAGATTTTTATGACCGAACAGAAACAACGATGCTGAGAAGTGGACGCGAAATTGTTAGCCTTATCAACGAGTCAAAATTCATCGTCACACCAACGCGCCATTTGGTTGTTTCCCTAACCTCAACGTCAGATTTGTTCAAATACTTGTAGATACCGTTGGTCCACTGCCTCCTTACAGTGGTTTCAGCTACATTTTCACTTGCATCGACAGATTCACCCGTTGGCCATTAGCAGTTCCACTAGCAGAAGAATCCACCGAAAACAGTAGCTAAAGTTCTGGTCGATAATTGTATAGAAAACTTCGGTCTTCCACATAATAATACTACAGATAGACGTTCTTAGTCGGAAAGCTGTCTTTTTCAACAGCTCACAGATTTATTGAGAGTCAAACGAATACCAAAGATCTCGAATAACCTTATTTCCAATAAGATGGTCGAACGATTTCATTAACAACTTAAGACTGCATTTGGTGCCTATCTGACCAGAAATGACTGGTGAAACAAACTGCTACTATTGTGGTGAGAGATGGCTGCTAGCCAAATTTAGTAGACAGTAATTGACGTCAATGTTTATGTCCCCAATATTGGTGGTGAGAAAATGAGAACAAAGGCTTTGCGTAGGCGGATACAGTTAGCATATGGATGATCTGACACAGCCACAAAGAGATGCAAGGTTAACTTTTTGTGAGAAACAACCAATCAACAAACTGTATTTTCTACTAACAATAATCTACAATAATGTACATTAAGATCTATAAATATGTGTTGATTTCCCTTAATAAACGATCTGTTGCCTGGCCCTTGTCTTCTGTTGTTACACTGGTACTATTGAGAACAAGAGGAATTCTGAAGAAAGACATGGGGTGCTGCGTTTCTGAATTAGTCTATGGGACGACGCTACGGCCGTCGATGGAGTGTTTTGCATTAGATAACCCAGTTCCACATGAGATGACTGACTATGTGCATCTACCAAGGCAACACATGAATGAGCTAAAAATATCGCTTCCATGCCATCAGCAACGATCAGAATATATCCCACCACAACTGACAAATTGCACTCACGTGTTTGTCAGGAAGGATAGTGCACAGCAGCCAATTCAACCCCTCTACTACGGTCTACTTCGAGTTCTAGAGAGAAATGATAAATTTGTTACGGTATAACGATCAAATAAAGCAGAAGTCGTCAGCGTTGATAGAGCCAAACCAGTGTTTATCTACGACCTCGGAGACAAAGATAAAGATCAATGGATTGAGTTGACAACAATTCCAATCAATTAAAGCCCGACGCCAACAGAATTACGTGTGAAGACAAGGCAATCTGGTAGGAGAGTTCATTGGCCAAAAGAATACGTTCAAGAAGTCACAACTTATTGTGAATATTCCTTTCTAAACTGACATTTAACTCTTTACAATAAAGGTTTTTGTATTTCTCAATGAATGAAAAACACTTTCTGATAACGAATGAGGAAGAAAAAGAAATATCAAACATTACTGAAACTCTCACGCAAAACACCTACCCAAGGGACTTCATTAACAAAATCAACACAGACATTAAGTATGGCCGAAAACACATTCTGAAAACGTAGACCTCAACAGTCGTCATTCCATACAGAGCAGAGAAGTGAGACGATATCAGAAGAGTACTCAGTCAGCTCAACATTAGAGTTTTCTTCAAAACATCAGACACACTACCGAACAACTTTGTCCACATGAAAGACCAAATCCCTAAAGATTCTCTATCTAACTGTGTCTATAAAGTAAAATGCTTGGAATGTGATACGATATACATCGGACAAACACCTCAAGAAATCAAGGTAATCAGAAGAAATGAACACTGTGGGGCATCTGTTCGGCCACTGATATATCTGGCTGAACTGGAAAAACTCGAGAAGTTATCAACCACAGGTCTACGCGCTATAGAATCAGGCTACAAAATTGATTTTGACAATATTGAGATAATCCAGAAAAACTTCAGAAATCACAAAGAACGTCTTATATCAGAAGCACTTCATATCAAGTGGAATCTAAATTGCCTGCATAGAAGTGATGGACTAAAACAGAATCTGACCTGGTTAAAACACACCCACCCTCCCCCAATGAATTGCCAAAATCAACACGAGTGTGATAAGCAATTTCACTATGTAAACATACACTGTTTTCATAATTCAACACACTGATCAAATCCAACAATCTTCACTTGGTTTTGTTATCTTTACCAATTGACCAACTTGACAACGAAAAATGACCCCAGACTAACGAACGATGATCAAGTTAGTAACCTTTGTTTTGATATCATAACAGGTGTACTATTACCTTTGTTATTTGATTTAGTGATCTTCGTTTTTATTTTGACTTTCAATATGTCCTTTTAACTTGACCTAAGTCTATTTTCTCACCTCTTAACTCTTGAATATATATATGCTGAGATTTCGTAAATTCCGGATTAATCATACCTTGATAAGCTATTAGCATTAAATAGCGAAATGTCCGTAAAAACAACAACGTCGTTTCATTTTTCATTCATTGAGAAATGCAGAAAAGACCTTCATAATAAAGAATATCAATAACCCGATATCCAACTCTTTTCAAACTGTTAAAAGTGAACTTGGTTTGGACAAATATGACATTTAACTCTGCTCATTCACGTTATAGGATATATTTACAGATAGTTCACACAGTTACTGACTAAACATTGACTATTAGTTTTAGCACAACTACATTAAATTGTGTCATATTTGCTGCTTACATATCGTTTTCATCTTCAGTCTACCTATCTCCGGCTGATCTTATTCATTACACATATTTCCCTTCATGATTGTCACTCCAATTATCCTTAGTGCATTAACCAATAATAATATTAACTGTCTGGATTGAATCGCGCATTTTCCAGGTTAATACACTTACAGTTTTCTATGCATTATCGCTACTGTTTATTTCACAAACTCAAATTATTATCGAAAACTTAAATGTATTAACTGATGCTTCACTGTACTCGTGGGGGAGTTATGTAGTGCCTCTATATTAAGGTTAACTGTAGGCTTATAAAACTAATTCATGTAAAAATGTGATGCGCTTACAGACACTAGTCTTTCTGATGCTTGTGGAATATTTGACATTGTATTATTGAACACTGCTTTTCGATGTTACATATATAAAATGTTACGCGGTTATACACTTTTTGATCGCTTTCGCGTTTTTCAAAATTCGATTCGGTTGAAAATACACCTTTTGAATTTTCACTTGTGCTTCTTAATGCAAATTTGTTCGTCTTTGACCGTGTACAGTGTTACGTCATAGTAGAATGTGGAAAGGTGGGTGTACTATAGTTTTATAATCAAAATTATTAGGGGTATACGATAGGATGAAGTTTATTATTTGGACTTTAGTCCTCATGTGGCTTATATTTCACAATAAGTTCCATCTTGGAGAATTCTCTGGAGGTGTGTATTGTGGCACTGACTAGTGTGTGCGTGGTTGAAAGTCATTGTTTAAGACAGGAGAAGAAACGAAAGTTTTACCAATAATACTTTTATTTGAAGTGTGTTCGGCGGTCTACACTTTAAGTGACGTAAGCCGGAGTGGTCGTCAGATTACCTGAAATCAAGTACAACAGAAAATTGCATAAGTGAGAATGTGGAAATATTCTTAATTGTATTTAAACAAATTTTCACAACATTTTTAAGTAAAGTGTGTTTCAGCGCCACAACACTGCACAACCACAGAAAAGGTTTGCATCTGGTTACCAGCAGATGCACTGAAAAAGCTTGTCTATGGTAAGCGTTGAGAGGATAAAGGTTAGGTATGTGGCTTAAAACAGCCTAACTGCTAATGGAACTTCTAGGCTTCCCGTCTCAAAACTTATGTCCTACTTAGATTATAAGGAATGAAGAGAAAATGGTTTCCATTATTTTACTGTATCAACCTCACCAAATGGACGGTGAGGTTGATCAATTATTCAATGATCTGTGTCCTTTAATTTCTGTCAGTTCGTGATATAGCGCAACTGTCAGTCGGTGTCTTCGATGAGCATCCGCTTCATGTTGACGTGGTTGATCCCAGTGACTATGACTTCACTGTACAGCTTTCTGATATCCATGCATTCGCCATCGATGATCTGGAGATCGGAATTTAGACTGTGGGATGTTTGTAAGGATTTTAATTATTTCCAATATAGTCAAAAGGGCTCTCTACTGCTCCTTAAATTTGAATGGACTTTAACTGGTGTTGTTTGTTGACAGAATGCAAATGGATATTGATCCGAATCCCCACAAAATCCCACAATCTAAATAAATGAGTTTCACAGAGTTGTCTCTTACGGATGTGCATCTGATAAGTGCACTCATCAATAGGCCATTTTTGTTTTGTCTGTATTTTGTTGCATTATACCTTTTTGCTAGCAGCTCATACGAAATGTAATTGCCATCGATGTCATCACTATCAGGTTTTGGAATGTTCATGTCAAAACCTTAAGAAAACATACGAAGGCTACGAATTGAGCATGACGAAATATGCACTTAGAATACACACACTTCAGCAGTCGTCAGCATGTGGAGTTACAGGATTCTGATATCTACTGAATAATGAACGAAACAGTGAATCTCTCTTGTAATAACTGTCATTTCCATGACAATCCTTAGATATCGTGTTATATGTGCATCAGAAAGTCACCCTGCAACTTTGTAGAAGTAGTGACACTGATATTTTTTCATAATCTAACTTGTTATTACTATTACCAGACGAAAAGCTGAGTGTTTTAGGGCAGGTTTTGGTTTCTTTTGAGTTCGGGCGCTCTTGGTAGACCATTTACATCTCGTCAACACTTGATCACACTTACTATCAAATGTTCAACAATTTGCTGAACGTTCAATCTATAGTAAGGCACATTCAACAAGTGACATAATCTGTAATAATGGCCTTTAATGTGCTTGAAGCTCTGCTAAAGGAACATCACACAGCCTACACAATAAGGTCTCTACTTCTCATCTATTTGTCTACTTTTCTTGGTTAATTGTCACGATATCTTACAAACTTTCGAAGTTAGATTATTTGCATAGTTGATCAGAAAATAACTGCAGGTCAGATTAGCAGAAAGACCAGCATTATGGAAATCTAGTAGCGAAACAGCCGACAAATTACTGCCTGATAAAGATGCAGAATCAAGTGTGGATTTATGGAATGGACAAATGCTATGGCGGCATCGAAATTATACTGTACGCCAGGTTGTCCCATGGAACCTTGATAGTTTTGTTCAAGCAACACTCGGCACTGCTTAGTAGACCAGGTAGGCAAGACAAGAGTTAATATGTCTGAAAAACAGCTGCATCTTCTCGACATTGAATATAGGATAATCGCCAGGAAAAAATGAATATTGTGGGATTCAATGAGATAGCCAACAACCTGATAATCTATCCCCCCCCCCCCCGGCATATATTCGAAAACAATTGGAGGGAGATCAAATACGACAGGCTTTTGCCTGTAGTGGCTGTTCAGAAGTGAAATCTCAAGCGTCCATGAAGACCATGGGGAAGACCATAGTAGCAGGAGATTAAAATTATTCGTCAGCCATGAAACCAGCTGCATCCAACGATAAGTGCGTTGATTTCACGATATGCTTAGAAAAGTTTTTACATTAGTCGAAAATTACCTGGCAATGCTTTCATTATAATTTAATGCTCCTGAAAACAAAAGAAAATTATAAATTTAGGGAAAAATATATTAGGGGTTGAAGACTGCGAAAGATTAAACATATCATATGAAATTCATGGGATGTTTTGAACTTGGAAAGGGTGTGCGATTATAGGTTTAGTAGACAAATCGAATAAAATAAAATCGTTACGTAACATCGTGTGAAATTTGATTCAAGTGGAACAGGTGAAAGAATACCGGGGACAGTTCAAAGTGAGAACAGTATTAGTACCAGATGACGTTATTTTTTTTCCTTCAGGTTCCCCAGTGGAACATAGGGCTTCAAGCTAATGGCTTGAAGTTTCTGTAGCAGTGTTTATTTTACAGGATGGGGTTGCTAGCCTGATGCCCAACCTTTCCTCTTTACCAGCATTATTTCTGGCTTAGCGAGGTAGAGGAGTGCGTCGGCCGAGGATCGAACCCCAGACCATGTGCATGGTCGGCGAGCGTCCTAACCGCTATACCACCGACGCACCAGATGACGTTATAAGGGAAGAGTATACAAAGTGAACAGACAAAATAAAAAAATTGGTAGAGCTAAATATGATTAGGGATTACCATACTTCAGCATAGAGTGATTAAAACCATGAAAGTTGGAGGGGTTGAAGGAACATTTCTGTAGACAGGGATATGGCTTTTCTGTTTCGATAGCCAAAGCTTCAGCAATTATCGGCCAGATGTTCAATGTTTGTGCTTTTTCACAGCTCCACTCCCACCTCTTCGTACCCATGCAGGATAGTGTTCTTGCAGCCTCTTAGACAAAACTAGAGCCAAACGACCGATATACCGAGCTCCACACGGGCAGGTGAGTTGATAAATGCACATGGACTTGGTCAACAGAGGGATCCTTTCCTCCAGGTCATTGAACAGTAATGGTTGACTGGTAAAGGCTATTCTCAGATATGCTGCAGGGAATGTTCCTTTCAGGGAATGTGATATCCTTTCTCCATGATATAAGAAGCTATGTCACCTATGAATTCCAAGCTCATGTACAGTATTTTCTCAGGTGCGCATGATAAGTCAAGTTTCATAGGATTTGAATGTGTATTCTTGTCTATAAAACGTGGTGGAAATCCATTTTCTATTAGGATTTTCTTCCAAAGATTTAACTCATGATATCGGATTGTTGAAGGCAATGGGCAGAAAGCCTTGGACATAGGTTTCGTGCTAGTTGGCACTCGTCGAAGGCTTCCTGCCACTCGCTTGCAACCATTTGATATCATCAAGTCAATGTGCACCGTGATGACGAGCTACCTAGAGCAATGGCCACACTGCGAACCTGAGTGATAGAATTCAGTCTGCATCAAAGAAAGGAATAGACACATCCTAATAGTAACTAGTGTCCAAAGAAGATTTAACTCATCCTCCACAGTATCAGGGCTACATATTCGCCGAATGCGAGTGACAAGCGACTGGACCAGGTTACATTTTCGACCAATGGTTATCCAGCTTTCCCGATATTATTTCAATTGTTCCACTTGTCATTCTAAAGCAATTACGTTCTGCAACCTTGAATTCTATGTTATCAAATTTCACACAATGTTACGTAACGTGCGTCGGTAGTATAGCGGCTAGGACGCTCGCCAACCATGCACATGGTTCCGGGCTCGAGCCCCAGCCGACGTACTCCTTTACCTCGCTAAGCCGGAAATAATGCTGATGAAGAGGAAAGGTTGGGTGTGAGGCTAGCAACCCCATCCTGTAAAATAAACACCGCTACAGAAACTTCAGGCCACTAGCTTGAAGCCCTATGTTCCACTGGGGAACGTGAAGGAAAAAAATAAAATAATACGTAACGTTTTTATTTCATTCGATTTGTCTACTAATCCTGTATTTGCACACACTCTCTAAGTTCTATCCATCCTTTGAATTATTCTTTATATGACATTAATTGTTCTGCCACTTGATATCTCTTTTCAAATGTTGATTTTCACTGGTTTGATTGGTCACAGGACTGAGCAGGTGGTGAAAACCATTGTGAAACCAGTATGGAGTACTGTACAGCTGTTTCAATCTACTCTGGGAATCTTTCGCAGTACGTACCTTCATATTTCGAAACCTGGGCCTACCGGTTGTAATAAATATAGGTGGCCAATTGATAGAAGTTGGAATTCACTGACCACCTGGTAGGTTATAATTGGCTGAATGGTCAACACACTGGCCTCTTAACCAGAAGGTTAGTGCTTCGAACCCCTATCGTGGGTGAGTACCGCTGAGGAATCTCAAACTTAGCTGATTGAGCAGCTGTTCAGTACACCCTGACTGGTTTCGGAATGGTTCTTCAACTGACTTCAGCTCGTGATCAAACCTGAGATTTATCCTATTAAGAGGTGTGATTGTTTACAAAAAGTCTTTCATTCACTTATAGCAGCTTAAAAATGCATTTCTGAATTCCAGATATGACAATCAATTCGCACACAAATATGTTTGGTCAGTGTCTCGTTCATGTATTTGGTTTTGAATGATGCCTAATGTGCACAGTATGCACACACACATTATTATTATTATCTTGAAGAGAGAAAGAACGAACATGTTTGCAGGATAATACGAGCTCGTTTTATTTCGTGGATTCTCATCAACTGCATACATCCTAAACAAAATCAAATTATAGGTTTCAAGAAAGTTGTGGAACATACTTTTTCATAAATACTTTGAGTTATAGATAGAAGGCATAAGGAACATAATTTCAGAATTTGATGTAGGTAGACAGATTATTCGGTGTCAAAAAACAACTAATTATATATAGTGGAATTAGATAAGAGGGGTGAGAGTTCAGATTTCTATTGGAAAACAACACAGATTGGTTAGAGGCATATTACAGGGTCAGGGTCAGAGAACAAAGTAAATTTACACATATTGTGTTGGAGAGTTTAAGAGGGTGGGGGTGTATAGTGAAGTAACATTTATAACTTAAACAGACAAACAATTAAGTAGATTTAGAAACTTGAAGGTCAAAATTGAATAGAATGTTACATAACAAGACAAACACACAGGCATACTGACAGAAAGGCAAAACAAAAATAAAATAAAATAGAGTGAGGGTTACCAAGGTAGTGAAAGATTAATCACACTATCTTTCTGTATACAGAGGTCTGGTCGAAATCTCTTGATAGCAATGGCTTCTGCGAAGCGAAGTAGCCGTGGGTTTCTTTGTGTATTGATTATTTTGAAGGCTTGGCTGATTTAGACTGTGTGTCCTGTGTCAATCAGATGTCTGGCGATTGCACTTGATAACACTTTTCTTCCTTTTGTACGGAGATTCTTAGGAATGTGCAGAAGCCATTGCTATCAAGAGATTTCGACCAGACCTTTGTATACAGAAAGATAGTGTGATTAATCTTTCACTACCTTGGTAACCCTCACTCTATTTTATTTTTGTTTTGCCTTTCTGTCTACCTACATCAAATTCTGGAATTATGTTCCTTATGCCTTCTATCTATAACTCAAAGTATTTATGAAAAAGTATGTTCCACAACTTTCTTGAAACCTATAATTTGATTTTGTTTAGGATGTATGCAGTTGATGAGAATCCACGAAATAAAACGAGCTCGTATTATCCTGCAAACATGTTCGTTCTTTCTCTCTTCAAACTAATAAAGGGAACCGGTTGCATGAAATTATTATTATCGTCTGCGAGTGGAATATACGGCTTTGACAGCATATATCCATTTCACCTTCTAGTGTGAAATCCTCTTTAGCTGCTGCCTCTCCGAAATATTTGATACTTAGAAAATTGTTAGTTGATTGTCTATCAGAGTTACTTATCGGCACTTCTTTTTAGCTATTTATCTTCAAAGTGAGGCTAAGACTTATGTTGATAATGTCTGAGTCAGCCTGGTGCTTTTGGTGTTACTTCGATTCTCTGAACCATATAGTAGGACTGGCTGACTTGACATTAGCATTGGAGATCCGTATCGTGTTCCTTATACAGAGTGAATCGAATTTCTTAACTGATTTCCGAAGTCTGTTTTGGTTTTCTGTTCCAACATTTGACATCCTCATGTGTGCCATCTGTAGGTGAAACTGTACAGTCGAAATGAGTGAAAGAAACATCCCTCCTGAAATGTCACTGGTTGGTAGCTATTACAATTTGTTGTTAATGTTTTTATATCTTCATGACCTCCGTCTTCCCTATGTCCAACTGAAATCCTACGCTCACTAAGTTTTCTGCAAACCTCTCAGTTTCTAACTGCAGATCTCGATTGACTGAAATCAGACATATGTTACCCACAACGTCCAGGTTCTCTACAGTCTACTTGTTAGGCGAACGTATTCCTGTCTTCTCGCTGCCCACGACCTGGCTAATGATCATGACGCTGTTCAACACAATTAGGAATATAATTCATCTCCACTTCAGAGGCTTCGTCGATCTTTCCATTGTAAATCGCATGACATGTTGCCTCTTCAGTGATTAACCTCTATTCCTATCATCTGATTACTCGCCTGCTATAAATGAGGTGGATGTATACAACTCCTGCGAATAAGTCATATAAATTTTCGAGAGAACAGATAAGTATGAGAATCCTAGATTCATTATGAATACACGAAATGTCATTCGCTTACTGAATCTCATCTTGAATTGAGCCAATCTGTTTTCTATAAATATAAGATATCAGTGTAGGATAAACAGAAGGTCAGAAGGGTAGAAAAAGTGACTGATAGAAATTCACAAGTATTCCTTGTTTTGCAAGGGTGAATTATATAAATGTATAAATATATGCAACACACAGCTAGACTTTAATAGACACAATCACTGGGAATGCAGACACATACGGCTGACAAGTTCCAAGCAGGAAGAAACATACATCGGAGATTGCCCTGTCATTTTCTAGACAGCGTGAAAGCATCCATACTAAAAGCCGACATGTCTGCATTTCGGTCCAAATAATCATCAGAAAATGAAAATAAGGTTAAAAGCAAGTGATCATTGCTGCTTGTTGAATCAGCGGTGACTACTACGACCGACTTGAGCTGGATAAATACTTGTCAGCTGGATCGGTATGTACACTGTCTGTGCATCACCGAGAATAACATCACCCAATGTAAATTTAGTTACATCTCAGATAGGACGAAATGAGTATCTTGGATTCCAGAGTCAAGCACCATCAACAAAAGACAACATTCTTCTTAAATGGTTCAAGGCAGCCGTTAGGAACCCCTGCCTGACATGGGATTCTCGCTTGTTAGTACTTGTCTCCAATGCGTTTGTAAAATCTTGAAAAAGCTATGGCGAATCCTTAGACTGGAACCTGCATTGCTTATCCTGAAGCATTTTCAGAGACGTCACACAACTCAATGACTAGACGGATGACATGAGCTACTATGTACGTTCAAGACAAAAATCTGCATTCACTGAGTAAGTCGGAATGAAGCTCATACTCAGATTGCAGAATATCCAAACCTGTCAACTGACAGATGGCTAGAATGCATTTGAATACTTAGGCGCAAGGTTACGAGAAGGAAGCACAGTGATTTTCTGTACAAGCGAATAAACAGAGATATGAAACCTACAATGTGTGTTATCGAACTCTACACTGGAACTGCTTAGCTTTTTTCTACAAACTATGGGGATTTAGTGATATGAAAGTATATCTCTGGTGTGGGCGACAGAAACGCATCTTCTACACATGGGTAGAATGAAAAATAATTCAAAATCACAGTTTGCAATTTTCACAGTTTGAGGGAAGAAATTTCACGTGGTATTCTTAGAAACCAGTTTATTCCGATCACGATATGTTATCTCCTTGATAATGAAGATGGTACTCAAAAAAACCAGTAACAAGGCCTGAAGCTGTATACTATTGACCGATTGATTGACACAAGTAGCATATAATTGAATAAATGAAATTAGAACCGAGATATGTTGATAGTGGGATATTTTATCACGCATCCATCCAGATTTTGGTATTTAGAGCAATGAACTGCCTACAGGATTCGAAATTTTGTTCAAGCTGGACTGGACTATGTGTACGCAGGGAGTGAAAAGACAGGACTACGTGGAACCGATAAGAAGACTGAAGAAGATATGGATTTCACGCGTGGATTACTTATGTGTGGTGTCACGCAAACTCAAAGGCTTGCAGGTGAAAACCAACAGACTGGCTGGAGAGGCAAGTAGCGTAAACAGGATTCCAGGTGAACATAGAGAAGGCGAAAACAACCATCACCATCAACGAAAGTGATTTGAAAGAGGTTAATTCTTGCACTTATCATGGAAGCATCGTTTCAAGCACAGATGGAAGGGATGAAAATGTCAGCACTGGCCAGAGTCGAAAAGTTGGGAGAGGCGTTCATCAATATGAAATCTATTTGCAAGTCTTGTGCTCTCACTTATCATAAGGAACAAGTTTCGGATTTTCAACGCAACTGTGGAGTCAGTCAGTTCTTTTATGTGTGTTCGAAACTTGACCACTGCGTCACTTAAAGCATTTACAACAGCCTGCGTTAAAATTTTCATCGGCACTAGTCTTCGCTGGCCCTATTATGATAATGGCCACTCAGAAACAATTCGCAACAGGAAACTATGGAAACAAGCAAACCATTTACGTATCGCTTGACAGATGTGTGAGATTAAATGGAAATGGATCGAGCACATGCCAGTAAGGCGACAACTGAATGACACCTCGTGTTAGGTGACTGCTTCAGTGAAACTCTGATGAGAATGCACGAGTTGAGCGTGGTGCGAATGTTGACATAAACGAGATTGCATTAGGAGGCGATGAAAGATTGTAGACAATCGTGCGCCTAGCTTAAGACGACAACAGAAAATGGAACAAATTGAAGACGTTCTATTGAAGGTCATTTTCCACTTTGAACACAAAGAAACACCTCATGTTAGATGTCGATATTTCTCATGTTCCACGATGTAACGCGTATCTCATCCATATATGCGCATCCTTCAGTGCTTAGATTATTTGAAACTGACCGAAAAATATGTCTGGCTTACCTCTAGCCAAATCACGCCTATGCATCATTTCTTCTACAAATAAGAGGTTAAAGAGAAATAATGAGCGAAGATTTGATAGGCTAGAGTAATTTCAATTGGCGCTGTTCGCTCCACAAATGTCAATGCAGAAAGAAAGCAACCACTTATAATCTGATATCACATCAACTAGTAAACCAACAGACGGGTGAGGCAAGAAGTGAACAAGCGAACATAGAGAATACGGAGGTGACCAAGATACCTGACTACCAACAACAACAACAACAAAAGTCAGTCACTAAGAATGGGAACAAACTGAAAAATGCCACATCCTTCACTTGCTTAGATATCATTGTTCCAGTTACAATTAGCAGGAATAAAGATATTAAAGGTATGGTCGAAAAGGTGAGATTGTCATACATTAATATGAAATCGATGTAGAAATCTACTGCTTCTGACATAGATGACAAAATTCTGTATCGCTCAGAGATTGGCTCATCATATAGAGGATTTAGAAGGAACTGCGGACTTTTATCAGCAGCAGTCTTCTCTTTCTACTGAAGATCCTGTAGCTAGAAACAACGAGGAACAAGGATCTCTTAGTTTTCACCAGAAATAATTTTGATGCTAAACCTCACGCTCAACCAGGCGTAACGAGCGGACTTACCACAGGTTGGGCAATGGTGTTAAGGAGTGAGTCGGGTGAAAACTAACACGCATTGTATCCGTGAAACACATGCGTACCACTCAGAAGGTGTCGTCAAAGTGAAATGACAGTGATTGAATCTGATTATCATAAGGAAATTACCTTCGCTCATCGGTGCTACAATGGCCAACGGTCCTGTTGAAATTTGAGTGAGAGAGAGAGAGAAAGACGGAGATTATATTCAGTTGAGGAATTTAATCAAACTAATTTTCAAAGGTTCCAATCCTGAATGGAATGTTGTGTGCGAAAATGATCACTTTGTATATAACATGATAAAATATTCATGCCCAATGTCGCTTATAGTGGTGATTTCAGCTATTTAGAACTAGTGACGATACTTTCATTCACTACAATGTATGTACCATTCAATAGTGATCTGCGCTTTTCAGCTAAAATACTGTTAAACAAACATGGATAGCGTGACGAGAGAAAGCAAGCGACTTAGAAATGGAATACACACCATAATTTTACATTTTCTCAACATATTAGGTGGGCTAGACCAGCAGATAATAAGAAAATGAAAATCATGGCAGCTGCGTGGTCACTTCAGTCGACCAAACAAGAAGTGTTCCAAACCTCACACAAACTACTAGATTAGTGTTTAATGCATCTCTTTGTGTCTATCGTGTACTCAATATTTGATTTAATCATAATGTTTCTGAAAACAGATTGTCTGTTGAACACTATGCACATACTGTCAGTTAAATGGAATTTCGCTTGCCATAAATGCAATAGATTCCAGTGATTGCTCATCATTTTGAAGTTTTCATACATGAGAGGGAAAAATTCGTTGCTTGAATCCACACACAAAATGATTTTCTCGACAAGATTTCTGTCGACAAACGCCACCACAATTATCAGCATTTTATTTTATTTGGCGTCGGTTGCACAATGGTTAGGATGCTCGCCGACCATGCTACATGGTCCAGGGTTCTGTCTCCGGCCGACGCACTCCTTTCCCTCGCTAACCCAGTAATAGAAATGGTAAAGAGGGAAGGTTGGGCATGAGGCTAAATACCCCATCCTGTAAAAATAAACACTGCTACAGAAAATTCAAGCCTCTAGCTTGAAGCTCTACGTTCCACTGGGAACGTGAAGGAATAAAAAAATATGTTATTTGGTAATGAAGTATAGAAAAAAACGTCAAAACACAGATCGGTATTCACCTGGTAAGTCTTCCACTTCTCTGTTTGATACTGACACTGAAATGCAATATTAGTGATAAGTTTGACAGTTTCCATTACTCGATAAGATAAAATAAAAATTGAATGAAATAAGTGAATTGACGCTGTTTGCTACGCATATCATTCTACTTAGTTGACAAATGTGAATTACCACTCGCTTGGGGGGTTAAGCAGGAAGTATTCACTGAGCTGAAATTCATGCATGCTGACAGACATCTGCAAGCCATATCCAAGAACTTGAAGGACCTCATGTCCCTAATCAGAATTGAACACGTGTCACCCAGTGCTACAGTCAGAAGTCTTACCAATGAGTTATTCGTGTTCGTGACTTACTTCCTGTAGCTCACCAGTTCAGCGTACACCGTGTTGACGAGCCAGCTATCATGTCGAGCATGTTGTAAGCTTGACTGATAGAATTTCGTCTGCTCTCAACAAACGACTACACGCATGACACTAGTTACCACATAGTTCTCAAACATAGTATTCAATATAGTTTTACATGAAGTCAATCAAGTGCCAGATTGGATAGTTCAGTCTAGCTGCCTCACTGGCTGATGTGGCTTCGAATCTCAGACGAGACATGAGTTTCTTCAAGATTTCTGATGCGCGCAGCTGATTTGTGATTGGCTCGAAACCTGAGTCTGAGGCTTCCTTTTGATTGTCTATAACCAACCACTAAAAACATTTCAGATTTGATCAAGATGGCTGTCCAGCTAGCCTGGTGACCACATTGCAAGGTGAATTGATAGAATCTAGTGTGCAACCAACAAAAGCGCAGGCGCATGGAACTAGATGCTATTAAATATGAGACCAGCATATTACGAGTAATTTTTTGCCGTCAGTGTACTTAATATTTCCCTTATTATTTAAAATGTTTATAATATGTTGTAAATATTCAGGTAATTCTTAAACTTACTTATTAAATTTATTAAACCATGTACCCTGTTTGCTGAAATATAAAAGAAGTGCGTGAATTTGAAAAAAATTCAGTTTAGAACAATTAGTCCCTCATATAGATTTGGATAGTCTTAGACGGAGATTACCTGAAAAATATGACGTATTTGCGCTACACATTTCGAACAATCTGATCACAAATTGACCAGTCAAGTGGACGTATGTGAAAAAATTAAGGGCAATTAATCCAATCAAGTTCATTCATTTTTGTAGCTCTAGGATCTGACTTTCTAAACTGTCCCGCATATATGAACATAAAAGATGGAAGAATGTATTCATTTGATGTGAATTCTTTGTTTACTAATGTGCCATTGATTAAGACTGTTGATATTCCTTGTGACCATATAACTTTTAGTTGTTTTTCATTCCCTTTTCCCTTCACGTATTTGAAGCATTTATTACAACTATGTGCAGACAACGTCTATTTCACGTGTGAAGATGAACATTTTCGAAAATTGGATGGTGTTGCTATGAGGAGCCAACGGGACCATTGTTAGTGAACATTAACATGGTTTATATTGAGAATTTGCAGCTTGAATTTATTTATAAATTGTCCTTCTATAGCAGATACGTAGATGATGACATTCTGATATGTGAAGATCATGAAGATGCGAGTTAGATATGAGAGAGACTAAACTCTGTACCAAAACATATAAGTCTTCCATAAGAGCAAGAAAGACAAAAACAGACCTCATGTACCTATCACTCCATTTCTTGTGTATCACACTCCGACCCATGCAGATATTGATGTTCCCAATTCAGCTTCCGTTTGACGACGAAAGGTTTGATATTTCAGTGAAGGATTCATTGGAAACCGTCCAAATCTTGTTCTTACTGCATATATGTCAGCTGAAATTTTTTTGGCTGCTACATAGCCAGAGCACCATGATATTAACTCTCTCTGACTGCCGATTTAACTCATTAAACTCATACACGTTCAAAGTCAATTTCAACGCGTATGCATAAAAAGAGGAATAGTGAAATTGTGATAAGCGGTTTATTACACATCTGTGGCTTTTATTTTCCTGTCTGTGAGAGTGATCAAAGTGTGCCTGGCTGTGTAAGAGTCTGAGTCTGATAACTCACGTAACTGTTTCTGTGTTTGCAATAAAGTGATGTTTTGAATACACTTACCTCTTGCAGCCTCTCGCATTGATTGTATACGATCTGGAAGACAAGAGTGAATAATATAGTTTAGACGCTGAACTCCTCCTTTTTCACGATTGTCCTGATCTCTGTTTATCGAACTATTCACAATTAAAGTTATCTACGGGTCATACAAAATTCCAGTGACTGTTCATTAATGAATAGACACAAATGAGATTCATGGACGATCGTTTACTAACCCGGAACTTTCTGCCAACGTAGTAAAATCATGGTTAGATGACAGTTGAACAACAAAAACAAAAGGTGAACACGCATATTTGGCTGTTTTCGAGTGACTCATTTCGCAGACTTTGTCTAGATTTCAATGAATAGCTTTACAATCACATCACTCATTAGAAATTCGTTCGAATCAAATGCGTTGGTGTATTCACAACTCAACACACACAGTAGTGACACAAGCGGTATCAGTACCAAACAGATTGCATTCAGCAAACAAAGGGTTTTAGATAGATCGAAATAGAAATCAGAGGAAGGAAGTCGTATTTCAAGGCTGTAGAACCGAATTTAGGCATACACAAAACGTGTTGTAACTATTATTATTCCTTCGGATTCCAAGTGGAACATGGAGATTCATCACCACGTCTCATCTCAATCCGTTCTCTGAAGTCCACTACAGTTCGCCCAACAATTGCTCACAGGTTCTCATCTCCTTCTCACACACTCGTCTAGTCGTTCTACATTGTAGTTTCACTCGAGAGATGACTTCAATGTGCCCCTGATCCATTTTCAATTTCTTTGAAATATGTTTCAAGCCATATGTTCCTGGTTGTTTCATTTCCAGAGTGCCCTGCTTAATATTTTTACTGTACTTTCCATATCCAACATGCAGTTAGGGCACATGGTGATGGCATACAGTAGACACCAGTTGGAAATGATTTCTGACAAGTGCTCACCATGTTTGCGACCCACTTCGAAGAGACAATGTTACAGAAAGCTGGAATCTTGCTCTTCATTATCAATGCGTCAGATGGCTGATTCAGTTGATCAGTGACGAACGTTAGCCCTGCCTTTCTGATCCTGGCTGGATTTGACACCCTCACATGTGCGCCTGTAGTTGAAACAACGAAGCCGAAATATGGGAAGAAATGACTTCCTTCGAAATTCTTCTCCCGATATTTATTGGTGCTCGTTGTTATAAGTTGGTGATCCACATCACCCCTGGCTACTCTATCCACACTTGAAGACCTGACCTCTATGCTACTTCGGCCGACTTCTTGGTTTGCTCTTGTGAGCCTTTTGAATTAATGTGACATCCAATATAAATCACCCGTGAGGTCCACATCTTCTACAGCCTCCTCGTCAGTTCAACGTAGTCCTGTCTTCTCGCTGCCCACACATCTAGCAATACCATCGATGATATTAGGCAAAGTCGTCACTGTGCTCTTCGTAGTGGATCACTTGATATGCGACATTGTCATATATCCATTGAGGGAGACTGATAGTGCTTTGATGATGTATTACTGAGAGCATTGTGTTATTTAGGAAATGTGGGAGGAGAATGTACGGACGACTACAGCCAATTGCTATCTCAATTCTCGAGCATCTGACGACTTCACGCAAACGCAGCTCCAATGGAGTGCTCACTTTTGTTGAGTGAACATTCAGGCATCTCGCTCCTCGTCTGAATCCAAGTTTCACTCTGTTAAACTTCAAACCTTAGCTTTCATTTCTTGTTGATTAATGATAATTGCACACTTTTGTCTTGACAAACACCTTTCAAGTAGTGGTATCTACTATGTCATACGTTGATATCAGTGACGCATGCAATGTTATCCGGTTTAGTAGATATAAAGATTATTGTATCAGCCGTTGGAAATGACCATGTCAGTAAAGGAGATGTTCTTCTCTGAAATGCGTTTCATTTCTTTCATGACTCTTAGGATAATTCTGGTCTTTAGAAACCAAGGCTTTTTTAAAAACAATATATTGGAGTGTTTGAGACTTGAGAAGATATGGAGAGGCATAATCAATGTGTATGGACCATAAAAGTAAATCTACAGGTGAGCAGACGACTCAGCAACGTGAAAGCCTAATATAGATCTCAGATCAGCAAAGAATTATCAAAATTTCATTGAAGATTATAACTCAGTAGGGAACTGAAGTGGATTTTATTATTCGGTTAGAGCGAGGTAAGTAAATCAATCATTCAGAATACCGACAGATCTCAACTGTTTGTCCAGTGTTAATGAGGTGTCAAATATTAGCACACAACTACTGACGTTCCGTGCAAAGACAGGTTAATAAATATAGTAGACACCTTTAGCTCACTGCTTTCCATATGTGTACCACCACAAGTTCATGTGAATAAGTTACTACAATGGTGACCGACATGAAGAGAATACGTATCTGCGTTCTACTGAATTAGTGACGAATTGAGTGGTTTACTGCATACTTAGAGCAGCACACTGGTGCGACTTTCTGTCCAATTCTTATTGATATGCCTACTCTCCTCCACATGAAGCAGATAAAATCTGGTTTCATTAAAACTGATAGAGACTTCAGTCCGAACGTCACATCTCCATTGTGTTTGGTTGTGAGCTTCCTGAGGTATTGTGAGGCCCCCAACAATTGAATCTTTGAACAGAAGTGAGCCGAAGATTGTATGAAAAGACTGTCATTGTGACCAGACGGCCGAGAACTGTGACACCTTCATTGTCGACTGGTCGTCATTTTCTATGTTCACGCCGTCTTTTCGTTTATCGATTTCAGAATCGATTGTAAAATTACTCTGAAGCTGGCCCTTGTATTCACACATCTTGTCAGAGTGCTGTGCTACAAATACGTGGGTGAGTTTTGAGTGCAAAATTTTCACATGTGTGGTTAATAGACCATTCAAAGTTGAGGAAGAGACTCAGTGGGTTTTTCATCTTGTGTGGCGGAAATTGACCAAGACGACTGAGCGTAAATAGTGATGCTCTTTTTCAACCGTCGATGAATTCATGAGAATGCCATCCATCTCTGGTGGAGTCTTGTATGACGGAAAAGAGTATTGCATACTCTCAACTCAGGTTTTTATGAGCAGACAACATGGTGTCGATGAGCTCTGGTATATGCATACCTTTGGAAGCCAGGATCGATGATGTAAGAATCACTAGAGGAATATTATCTGGTCAAAGTTTCTGTCAGTCTAAAATACGCTGAAAGAACCAGGTCATGCGTATATGTAAAGCGTACACTATATTGATGGAAATGTGCTGGGATTAAGGAAGTCAGGTTGAACAAGGTGGATAGTAAAATCTGCAGCTGTCGTTATGTGAAGAAAATAAAATACCCGACGAGATAGTTATTAAGGATTCGATTAATAATTCTCATTAGATTTAAACACATTCGGTTTCTTATATGTTTTTCATACACACAAGTAATGTGGAATATTTATGCACCTGAGCAGTAAATGTGTTCAACAAGCCCTGATATTTGGAGAAGTAAGCATCACAAGTAGATGTCAAAGTCGAGCAGTCTTTCGTGCCAGCTCCAGTTAAGCCTATTCGTTCGGAAATGGCGAGTAGAAATTGAATAAACAATACAACTGAAGTACCCATCTGCTGAAATTCTGTGTCGGCTTGTATTAATAACAATAATTATATATAACAGTAATGATAATAATTTTACTGCAAAGATAAGATTGGATTATCTCAGGTGCACCTGAAATTACAGGTTTTCGTGAAAAACAACAAGACACAGATTGACAGTCGAATCCCTTCCTCAGTGGAATGTCCCAAGCACATGTCAATCTCATTCAACAGCTGTATGAGGAAGTTGCATTGCAAGTGGTGCGCAACGAAAAAGTCGTTGATGAGGATGTCAGAGAAGAGGACGAAATGTGGATGCGCTGCTGAAGCACTATGTTATACTTGAGTCCTGAAGCACTAATGGTGAAACACTGTATATTCCATGGGTGATGAAGGGATATCTACTGACTGTTGTTTCCATAGCAGTAGTGATATCAGACTGGTAGTCGAGATTCCTGATACACGCTGTGCCATCGAGCTACATAATCCAAGTGACAGTAATATGACAAAATTGAACTGATATTAATTCACAAAATAATGTGTGCTGAATACAGGGAAAGTGAAACTCTCAGTCACCACACAATCCGAAACACACACATGTAGACTGCTCATGAAGTGTTATATCAGATGATCTACAACATCGAGACTATTGACCAGTTCATCAGTTCAAGAGGCCTTTGAGGTGAAGACGTGGGCAAGACAAGGCTCTCTGCCTACCATCACGGCCAATATTCCATTTGGTTATGAACTGGATCAGAGTACTGGTCAGTAAGAATTAGCTTCAACACCAGGGCTAAGTAAGTCAGCTCGTTTCAGTGGGTCCGAATCTTGGCACAAATCTCTGAAAGCATCTCTTCTAGGCTACTACAGACTCTTATCAACAGCTGTCTTCGTTCCATACTGAAGATGCATCGGCCAGCAAAGAGAATCAGCAACAAGGAGGCATAGTATGCAGCTTATCAATCAAAAACCTAATGGACAACGGAGTGGAAAGAATAAAAAGTTCAACTTCAACATCCTGTTGAGTATTTCCACTGTTTAAAGGAGCACTCACTCAAAAAATATGCAAGGCAAAACGCAAGAGGATCGAACACACACTGAGAAGACCAATTAGGGGCGTGATGAGCCAGACCACATACTGCGACCAGAATAGGAAACGTGGATTTGAGTGTGCGTATAATGGTGACATGGAGGAGATCGTGTGAGCAGCCGATCAGATTTTATGAGTATTCGTCGAGTCAGTCAGCAGAGGAGCAGATTGGGAGATGAAGAAATGGAAATGTGCTGTTGAAACCACATAGTCCTCCTGGAATTCAAGGCAGTAATATTCCTAATGACGAATGGGAAACACCTCAGTCTGCCAGTTATCCGAGTATCACGAAATGAAATCAGGTGAGACTTGTGAGCGCATTGGTTTTGCGAAATTGGCTCAGTCCCAGTTGGAGTTGCCTTCCTTAAATGTACATATTTAGATATGATTGACAACATCAATGGCAATAAAGAAAGCAAGTGTAGTCTGGCATATGCGAAACTATCCCTCTGTATCCGCACTGTGATTTCGTAAGACGTCAACCCGTCGGGATTGATGGAACTTCCCAAGTAAATGAAGCGCTCAACGTGCTCAAACACTTCACTCCCTATTTCTAAGCTAGGAGTCAGTGTAGTCCTGTCCTGTAACATCATCTTATATTTGGTTCGAGCGAATTGCATGCCAAACATTCGCAGATTGCAGCTGAATGTGTTCAGAGGACTCTGCATTTTCTCAGCGTCCTCGCCTAGAGGGAATATCTGCATATTTCAAGTCCACGAGATTATTCCCTGGTAGCCAGTCAATTCTTGAGTCTCTGAAGTTAGTCAGTGGTAATTACATTAAGATATCCATGACGGAATTGAATAGAAACAGGGATAGTGGGCGTCCATGACGGACACCACTATTTGTCACCACTTCAGATGACAAAACACCGTTAGTTATCACCTGACTGCATGAGTTCAAGTAGAGTGCCTTGATCAGTGCGATAAATTTTCTCAGCGAACTGTCTCAACCGTACTTAAATACCTCTGGAGTCACTCAATCAGGTCCTGCTGCTTTGCCTCGTTTCAGACTAGTGACAGCCTTAGTAACCTCAGTTAGTGACGCAGGACCAGTGTCTATATCCCATTCAGGGAGGTGTTGGATGTTCGGCAGGTTGAGCGTGGCTGTAGGCCGATTGAGTTGTTCTTCAAAGTGTTCTTTCCAGCATTCCAGTCGACCATCCTGGGAGCTAAATATGGTGCCATTTTCTTCAGTTCAGTTCATTTCAATGCAAACGAATTCGAACTATCAGCTACAACTGGTTGATCTGAATGTTATCCAACTACTCACATCACTAAATCAGTAGTATATGAGTTAAGTCATGTATTTCCGGTCTAAAAGCTTTCATGTATTAGAGTGAACACTCGGTAACCATGTTATGTTTCGTTTCTACTGAGCATACACTGAATATGTGTTATATGATGGAGGATACCACGACTGTTTAGTTTATGTAATATAAACAAGCACAGAAACATTTAATGACTGAGGTGATGACCAATCAATCAGTCAGTTTACTTCGACGCTCGAACAGATACATCTGCGATCTAGGATTAGAGTGGTTTCATAACTTTCAAGAACTCAAAATCACTCATGCTTTTCCTCACCAGAACATAGATAACTTCTGTTATAAAACTTTGTTTTTTGAAGCATTTATTACTATGACACGCGGTGATTGGAGTTTATGAATACGTCTGTAAAAATGTATGGGCTTACTTCTTCGGCGTCGATTTTCTACAAAAGAGAGACAAAAGAGCTGGCAGTTGAGGGACATGAGGATTACATTTACGCATCACTCTCTAAAAAACTCGTCTAGATTACTAGGTCACTAGTATTCTCTAATGAAGTACTACGGCGTACCCCAAATATTCATCAACCTTATTCAACAGCTGTACGACAACGGCACATGTCAAGTGATACACAACGGGAAACTCGGCGAGGCTTTTGGAGTAAACACAGGAGTCAGACAAGGGTGCTTATTATCATCAATGATATTCCTAATTGTGGTGGACTGGATTATGCGTCAGACAATGGGAAACGAGAAGACAGGGATATCCTGGACCGACGTGAAGAACCTAGAAGACCTGGATTTCGCGCGTGGATGATTTATGTTTGATGTCACACAAAATCGAAGACTTACAAGCGAAAACCGACAAACTGGTCGAAGAAGCAACCAGAGAAGACAGGACTCCAGGTGAACATAGACAAGACGGAGGTCATGAAAATAACCAACCAACAACAACAACAGCAGCAGCAACATCCAGCGCCAATCATCAACAACGGGAGAGATTTGAAGGAGGTTACTTCATTCACTTATCTAGGGAGCATTGTCTGAACTACAGGAGGAACAAACGAGGGTGTCAAATCGAGAATCGGGAAGGCGAGAAACACATTCGTCAACCTGAAACCAATCTGGAAATCTTCCACTGTCACTCAGCATCAACAACAAAATTCGGATTTTCAATACAAACGTCAAGTCAGTCAGTTCTTCTATACGAATGGGTCAGAAACTTGGCGGGTCACAAAGAATATTCCCAACAGCCTGTTGCAGACCTTTATCAACAACTGTCTTCGTTCTATTCTACTGAAGATCAGATGGCCGGAAAGAACAAGAACCAACAAGAAACTATGGGAGAAACAAAACAAGAACCAATCGCTCAACGAATATGCAGAATAAAGTGGAGATGGATTGGACACTCGCTGAGGAGGCCGTTGGGTGACATCGCGCGTCAGGCCCTCGAGTGGAACCCGAAAGGTAAGCAGCGAGTGGGACGTCCAAGGGTGACATGGAGGAGATCGTGTGAGGAGGAGATGAAACAGTATGGACTAACATGGATGCAAGTGAAAAATACAGCAGAAAACAGAAACAAGTGGAGGGGTGCAGTTGAAGCCCTATGTTCCACTAGGAACCAAAGGGAACAATTATAATAATATCACTCTCTAAATGTGGCGAGTGTGAGAGCAATGTGTTATTCAACTTTCGGCCATGTAACTGCATTTCTCGAATTATTCGTGGCATGAATTGATTTCTCTTAACTCAAGCAACAAGCTGGAAAATGTCTTGATCGAAGATCTCATAAGTGATGTTCATGCACTATTTTATCAGCACAGAGGTGACAAAGTCCATTCATCTCGGTAGCATACTTACATAGCTTCATGAAACTTATCGCTATTACCAGCCAAAGCATTTTCAACTGTCTACTATAGACTTTTGTCAGTATCTGACCTTTCAATCAACAATGAATATCACATAGCCATCCGAGAAGGACAAACAATGTCAGGCAACTAGAAAAGTGATGACAGTGAACTAGAAAAGAAACCACTCTCCAGAAGGTGTGAAGGCGGAGATGAAGATGTGTGGAATGCTGTTGACTTCTGAATTATATCATACTGCAACCCATCTAAGAGAAGCTAAATCAGGAGCTAATATAGACATCGCTACATCAAATCAATCTCATGTTTTATCTGAAATCATATAACATCTTTTCTGTGGATCTTTCAAACCACATAAATACAGAATCGTGTATGGTATATACATGTGTAATTTTAGCTATTTTATACTGTTCAGTGACCAACTTTAGTGCATTTTACAACAAGGTGTAAATGAGTGGAAAGTGCTTTTTGTTCATGCAGTTATCTTTAGTTGTGATTATGTTGCGTCCTTCAAACTTGTTTTAGGAGTGGGGAATTATGGTAAAATGTAATTAGGTTCCATGTGTAATGTTTATGTTGTGTAAATCACCTAGAGATGATTGCACTTGCAACACGCGGTCTTTTTGAGGCGGAAGACATGTTACTTGAACGTGTGAAATGAATGACTCGCTCACTGACTGTGTTCAACCATCTAAACCGAACTCAAGTCATCGACGTTGGCATATTGAGAATTCACTGGATGAGACAAATCCCACATTGAAGCGAACCTTTGGATATTTGATAATATAATGGATAGGTGGACACGGAAGCGTTTTATTTCATGCATATGTCCGTCACACCTGCCTGACATGCGAAACAATCAGTTCAGTGATTGTCAGCAAGGCGTGTGTAAATTCTTGATGGAAGTATGCCAACTATTTAGACTGGAACCTGAATTGCTTATACTGAAGTGTTCTCAGAGACGTCCTACAACTCAGTGACTACACGGATGATATGACATACGATCTTATATCAAGACAGAAAGCTGCATTCACTGAGGACTTCGGAATGAAGCTCTTACTCAGAATGCAGAATATTCAAACCTGTCAAATGTCAGATGGCTACAATGCTTTTGAATGCTTAAGGTGATTGAGATAACAGGATAATAGCAACAACTACCATCACCATCAACGAGAGAGTCATAAGACAGGTTACCTTCCTCACTTATGTAGGAAGCAGGGTTTCCGACACAGGTGGAATGTGTGAATATTCCAACACCAGACGGAACCGAAAAGGTAGGAGATAGCTTTGTCAATGTGAAATCAGTCTGAAATCTTCTGCTCTTACTCAGCACAAGGAACAGGTTTCGGATTTTCAACACAAATGTGGAGTTAGTCAGGTCTTCTATGTGTGTCGGAAACTTGGCCATTGCGTCACGTATAGCATTTTCGACAGCCTGCGTCAGAGTTTTATCAGCAGCAGTCTTCGCTTTCTACTGAAGATCCTGTAGCTAGAAACAACGAGGAACAAGGATCTATAAATTTTCACTAGCACTAATTTTGATGCTAACCTCACGCTCAACCAAACGTAACTAGCGGACTTACCACAGGTTGGGCAATGGTGTTAAGGAGTGAGTAGAGTGAAAACTAACACAGATAACTTGCGCAGTCGGTGAGCACTGTATCCGTGAAACACCTGCGTACCACTCAGAAGGTGGCGTCAAAGTGATGTGACAGTAAGTAAATCTGATTATCATAAGAGAATTACCTTCGCTCATTGGTGCTACAATGGCCAACGGTCCTGTTGAAATTTGAGTGAGAGAGAGAGAGAGAAAGACGGAGATTATATTCAGTTGAGGAATTTAATCAAACTAATTTTCAAAGGTTCCAATCCTTAATAAAAATGTTGTGTGCGAAAATGATCACTTTGTATATAACATGATAAAATATTCATGCCCAATGTCACTTATGGTGGAGATTTCAGGTATTTAGAACTAGTGATGATACTTTCATTCACAACAATATCGGTATCATTCAATAGTGGTCTAAACTAACATGGATAACGTGACGAGAAAAGACTAGCGTTTTAGTAACGGAAAAGCTCGCCGTAATTTTACATTTTTGCCACATATGAGGTGGGCTAGACCAGCAGACAATAAGCTATTCTGATTGGTTGAAGATTTTCCAAAGGCTAAGGCATTGGGCAGAAAGGCTGCCAACTAAGTTTACTTCCTGATCAGAAGGTTAACTAAATCCAGACATGAGGAATAAACACTTCTACCTCTGCAGTCACTGACCTGAAGTAGTTTCTTCACTTCCTATTAATCTGTGTTCACATCCTCCTGGTAAGTCTTGTCAGTAGTACACGCCAGAATAACGACATAATCACGGTCAGCAGGCATCACAACCACAGTTCACCTTGATATCTTTAGTTCATTTATTCTCGACGGCCTCTATAGATGACCTTGTGAGTACGACGGTGTGTGCGCTTCTGTCTTTATCTCGAAATGCTTTAATATGGCCATGCACCTTCAAAGCCTGCAACCAGGTGAAATTTATTCACTGATTTCACGCGTCAAGGTATATCACAAGAACAAGTGAGACGGCGAAACCGAAAGTTCAGCGCTAATAATCGGACTGGTGTACGTGTTGATCTACGTAGGGAGGGAGGAGTTGGAAAACCGTTATTCCAAACCAGTGACTTCGTTAGCTCCAGAGACCTAAGGGATTGAATGGCGTATGAGCCTGTTTCGGCTACTAGAAATCATGACAGCCACATAGTCACTTCAGACAATCAAACAGAAAGTATATCTGACCTCACACAAACTACTAGATTAGTGTTTAATGCATCTCTTTGTGTCTATCGTGTATTCAATATTTGATTAATTTATAATGTTTCTGGAAACAGATTGTCTGTTGAACACTATGCACATACTGTCACTTGAATGGAATTTCGCTTGCCTCGAATGCAGTAGATTCCAGTGATTACTCATCATTTTGAAGTTTTCATACATGAGAGGTAAAAATGCGTTACTTGAATCCACACGCAAAGTAAATTTCTCGACAAGATTTCTGTCGACAAATGCCACCACAATAATCAGTATTATTTGTCATTTGGCAATGAAATAAAGAAATAAACGATTACACAGAGGACGACATTCACCTGGTAATTTTTCCATTTCTCTATTTGATTTTGACACTGAAATTCAATATTCATTATTAAAGTGAAAGTTTACACAAGTCAAACAGTAATCGCAATATTGGATGAATTAAGAGAAGTGATGCCTTTTTCTACGCATATCATTCTATTTAGTTGACAAATGTGAATTACCACTTGCTAGGACGGTTAAGCAGGAAGTATTAACTGAGCTGAAATTCATGCATGCTGATAGACATCAGCGAGGCGTATCCACGAGCTTGAAGAACCTCATGTCCCTACTCGGAATTGAACAAGTGTCACCTGGTGCTGCAGTCAGAAACCTTACCAATGAGTTATTCGTGCTCGTGACTTACTTCCTGTAGCTCACCATTTAAGCGTACACTGTGTTAATGACCCAGCTGTCATGTCGAGCATGTCGCAAGCTTTACTGATAGAATTTCGTCTGCTTTCAACAAACGACTACACGCATGACACTAGTTACCGCATAGTTCTCAAACATAGTATTCCCATACAGTTTTACATGAAGTCAATCAAGTTCCAGATTGAATAGTTCAGTCTAGCTGCCTCACTGGTTGATGTGGCTTGGAATCTCAGAAGAGACATGAGTTTCTTCAAGATTTCTGATGCGCGCAGCTGATTTGTGATTTGCACGAAACCTGACTCTGAGGCTTCCTTTAGATTTTCCAGCTAGCCTGGTGATCATATTGCAAGGTGAAGTGATCGAATCTAGTGTGCAACCAACAAAATTGCAGGTGCATGGAACTAGGTGCTCCCTATTATCAATTAAGAATATCAGTAGCAGTTGCATGCCACCAGTTTTGTGCATAGTTTCCACATAATTTTAAGATATGTAATATTTTGTATAAATAAAGTTTAACCTTTAACTGACCCAATAAGTTTAACAAACGCTTTATCTCTTGTGCTGAAAAGTAAGAAAAGATTGCGAATTTGAGAATATTCTGCGAATATATGTTATTCATTCAGTTTACCAAGCAATCATACATGCGAGGCATTTCTCATGATAGTGGATATTGACTAATTTTAGAAAGTCAAGAACTTGTTGTACTTAAGTAGTCATCTCACTGTGTTCGCCAATTGACCTTCCGACTAGAACATACGGCTTCAGCAACACATCTTCTTATCACCCTGTTCTCTACAATCCACAAAATCTGACGCCGCAATTTCCCATTAGACCTCTTCTACGCCCTCCACCATTTCGTCTGTTTCACCCTTCGAATCACTTTGAAATCGTCGGTCCAATTTCAGCTTCTTTTCGACGGCCATTCCTATGATATTTTATTGAAGAAATCATTGCAATCTATCCAAATCCTGTTCTTACTGCGTATTTGTCAACAGAAATTTGGTTGGCTGCTACATGGGCAGGGCACCTTGTGATTAACTTCCTCTGACCGGCAATTTAACTCATTATAATCATGAATGTTCAAAGTCAATTTCAACGCCCATACATAGAAAGAGGGATAGTGAAAATGTGGCTGTGGTTTATTACATATCTGTGGCTTTCATTTTCCTGTCTGTGGGAGTGATCAAAGTGTGCCTGGCCGTGTAAGAGTTTGAATCTGATAACTCACGCAACTGTTTTTATGTTTGCAATAAAGTGATGTTTTAAATACACTTACCCTTTGCAGAATCTTGCATGCATCGTAAGCGATCTGGAAGACAAGAGTGAATGAAAATATTTATACGTTGATCTGCTCCTTTTTTCACGATATTCCTCATCTCTGTTTAGCCAACTAATCAAAATCAAAGTTACCTTCTGGTCAGACAGAATTCCAATAGCTGTTGATTCATGAATACACAGAAATAGTATTCATGGACGATTGTTTACTGATCATGCGACTATCAGCCAACGTAGTAAACTCGTGGTTTGATGAGAGTTGTACAAACGAAGGATGAGAGTTGATCAAGCGACTAAGAAGTTAATCTGCATATTTGCATGGTGAAGACTGACTCAATTTGTGGTTTTTGTATAGATTCTAATAAAGAGTCTCACAATCACATCTCTCATTAGAAATTTGTTCGCCTCAGTCGTGTTGGCGTATACTCAACAAGACAGATGTTGACAGAAGTCAGTAGACACCAGTTGAAAATGATTTCTGACAAGTGCTCACCATGTTTGCGACCAACTTGGAAGAGACAATGTTGCAGAAAGCTCGAATGTGGCTCTTCATGATCAATAAGTCAGATAGCTTCATCAATTTCAGAGTGACGAACGTCAGCCCCGTCTTTCTGATCCTGGCTGGATTTGACACCCTCAGATGTGCGCCTGTAGTTGAAACAATGAAGCCAAAATATGGGAAAAAATGACTTCCTTCGAAATTCTTCCCTCAAAATTGATTGGTGCTCGTTGTTATTAGTTGGTGATCCACATCACCTCTGGCTACTCTATCCTCACTTGAAGACCTGACATTTAAGCTACTTTGGCCGACTTCTTGGTTTGCTCTTGTGAGCCTTTTGAATTAATGTGACATCCAATATAAATCACCCGTGAGGTCCACATCTTCTACAGTCTCATCATCGGTTCAACGTAGTCCTGTCTTCTCGCTGCCCACACATCTAGCAATACCATCGATGATATTAGGCAAAGTCGTCACTGTGCTCTTCGTTGTGGGTCACTTGATATGCGACATTGTCATATATCCATTGAAGGAGACTGATAGTGTTTTGATGACATAATACTGAGAGCATTGTGCTATTGAGGAAATGTGGTAGGAGAATGTACGGACGACTACAGCCAATTGCCATCTAAATTATTGAGCACCTGACGACTTCACACCACGCAGCTCCAATGAAGTACTCACTTAAACTGCTCTACAACACGAGGTTGAACGGTTCAAAAGGAGTTGTCCCCTCTCAATTATGTGTGGTGTAGCTTTGCCCAAGAAGTTTGATGGCGAAATCTGCAGCAGTCGTTATTTGAAGATGAGAACAAACCCGAGAAAAGTATGTATTCGCTAAGGATGATTTCCAGGTATATTGAGGAAATGAATTGGATTACTTATTCTCTTCAAATTTCCACACATTCTGTTTCTAGTCTGTTTCTCAACTTCTCAAATGTTGTGCTATATTTCTGCCTCCGAGCAGCATATGTGTTCAACATGCACTGAAATCTGGAGACGTCAGGATCAAAAATGGATGTTACTGTCGAGCTGTTTCTTGTGACTGCACAAGTTTAACTCTATTCTTTCGGAAATGGTGAGTAGAATTTGAATAAACAACACGATTGAACTCACCAGCTGCTGACATTTTATGTGGACCTGTAATTATAATAATAATAATATTTATAACCATAGTGATAATAATTTTACTGCATAGATAAGTTTGCATTATCTCAGGTGCACCTGAAATTACACGTTTGCGTGGAAAGCAACAGGACACAGATTGACAGTCGAATAGCCATATACTTCGATATCACGGAGTGAAATGGTCAAAGCACACGTCAACTTCATTCAACAGCTTTATGATAATGTCGCATTACAAGTGGTGCGCAACGAAAACGTCGTTGATGAGGATGTCAGAGAAGGGGAAGAAAATGAGATGAGCTGCTGGAGCCCTACGTTACACTTGAGTCCTGAAGCACTAATGGTGAAACACTGTATATTCCATGGGTGATGAAGGGATAT